CTAGTCTGGAAAACAACAAGAATACCCCTATTTTTTGTATTTGGTTGCTCTCTAATTGTGGGGGCATAAAATGTAATTTAAACTACATTTTTCCTCATTCAAATCCCTTTAAGTCTTATATTTTAAGTTGCTAACTCCCATTCTTTCATTAAATCTTGTATTAATTAGAAATATTAATATTAATATTAAAAAATAAGTGTCACAAAGAATAATCACTTTTATAGATAATAGAAATAAAAAACAAATTTAAAATCAACCCAAAAAATGGAGTTGTTCTCATGTTTGGTGACTAATCAATAATTCAACCTTTTGGGTTAAATATGGAAACCCTTGATGTCATAATTAAATAATAAAAAAAGATAAAAACACACAAAAATATAAAAATATTAAAAAATTATAAAAAATATTTAGACAAATATTATTTAATATCATTGTCATAAAAACTTATCACATACAAAGCACATATACACTTACCATTAAAAAGTAAATGACAAAAAGAATGTACACTAAAGTTTTCAAAATATACAAGTGGAGAAGTCAAGAAGATTGAATGTAGGGAGATTGGCTTTGGTTAGTGCAAGTCTCGTTCGAACAGCCTTTTTAGCCTTGCACTGGGAGTATCTTTGTTCCTATGCACCTTATTTCATGGGGAGATATTCCCAATGCAAGGCCCTAAAGGCTGTTCGAACGGGCCTTGCACTAACTGAGCCGAGTACACATGTAGCTGGTGGAGAGAAAGGAAGAAAACTTAAGGCTCAATTTGGAAGGAGTACAAATACAAATACATAGAACGCAAACTTTATATTTTGTATTATTTTGTATGCATTTGCACTGTACAAATTTGTATTTGTACTCAAACTAGCCCATCACAAATTAAAAGGATCAACGACGACAGGCTGTCTAACTTTGATGTGCAGATCAGACGCTACACCACATGCCAGTCAAAAGCATATGGCACACCACTCAAAATTTTTTGAAAGAATGACTGTTCAGCCCATTGTTAGAATTCTTAGTTCTACGGTATAATTAGGGTATGTGCCAGTTCGGAATTGATGCCAATACATGAACATGAACGGATATTGATGTTCAGGGTGAAGGTATGTGGTATTTTGAATTATTATAGGTATCTAATGAAATTCAAAATTCTGGAATGAACTGCGATGTATTTTTCCGAAATTTTTTCCATTTTAACAGGCACACCAATCATAAAGTGGGTGAATACGGCTGGCACAACCGCTATTCTTTCTTCTTTTATTCTCTTTTCACCTGTAATGGGACGTTCGTCCAGAGGACCGGAATACATAGGAATTCTTGCCACCTGTTCACACTCAAAATTTTCCCAGCCGCGTTGGACGTACGACTGGCTACGGAACCAGTCACTAGCCACTGGCGTGTTATTCACTCTCGATTGGCAGGCTCATTTTCAACCTGGCCCCAGCCCGGGCCCGCAGAACAAGAGATGTGTGTTCCTTCAATCATATGCCATGCATGTGTACGATGATCTCAAACTTCCCCCCTGTTCGGCTGTTCGTTGGTTCTAATTTCAAATTAGGATATCCTATTCACCTCTACCCATAAAACGGGGGAGAGGGAGAATGAAGGAAATGAAATAAAAAGGGAGAATGACGGTTCAATCTAGGGTCAGAATTTTTAGGTCCAATATATAGTTGGGGTAGGTGTTAGGTTGAAATTGATGGCAATTTACAGGTGGACAATGGTGTATAGAATGAGGGTTTTTAACATTTTTAATGTTTATAGGTCTGTAGTGGAATTCAGAAATTTGCATTGAGCTTGTCCCATACTTTTCCGAAATAAAAAATGATGAATAAAATGAAGCGCACTCTCTTCTATCTATTCGAACATAGAAGTGTTCGATAGAGAGTATTCTTTCAAATGAATGATTGGGATATGCAAGATTATGCTTGACTTTGAGGTTGAGGTTGAGGTTGCACATGCCTTTTTCATAAATTGGGATCTTTTGCCGATAAAATATGTCCCAACCCTCTACCAACTTGATATAACACCCACATCTCACCATGAGATTAAGACCTACCATGTATGAGATGTGTGGTGTGAGATCAGGTGATTGGTAAATTGTTGGAATGAATTTTATTGGCAGGTGATCCAGACTTCTTTTTCATGTAAAGGGATAAGTGATACACTGGGGTTGGTTGGGAGCATTTTGTTGGAGCAGATTCAGATCTATCCCTCAAGCTTTGAGCCAAGCTCCAGCCCGACATATAGGTTTGGTTGCTAATCAAGATACGCTCAATATAGTATGCGGTTAAGCTTGGAAAACTTGTAAGCCTAACAAAGTTTTATACATTTTTTAATTTTTACATATATAATAAGAAATAAGAATAAAACAATAAAATTTAAGGTTTAAAAGTAAATTGTAAATTAGTTACCTGGGTAGTCTCACTTTAGTACCTGAAATTTAAAATATATCAGTGCAGTATGAACTCCCAAAACCAACCATTTTGGGCTCCACTAACATTCCACTATTTATCTAATTCTCATGATGTCACAGGCGATTAAAAGCTTTAAGAATCTCAAAATTATCATTCAGTGGTGAACAAAGTCCTAAACCCACCTTCTCTTGAGGATGCCCCGATATTTCATTTAAGGAACGATTGATTGATGCTCATTTTGCATTTTTATTTTATTTATTTGGTGTCAACAGGGGTGAGGCTACGATATTTTTCTGTGGAAGGAATGGTTCAGAGTATATGCATTCGCCAAGCAACAATAATTTTTCAGCGCAAGCAAAAATATAAACAAAATCATTTTTAAAATTGTTTGTCTATTTGTTGAAAGTTATTCTAAATGCTGTGTTTCATATAGTTTTCTAAGAACGAAAAATCTATGATGCGGGAAAGACATGGTATTCGAAGAGTTTCGACTAATCAAAATGAATTGAAATCTGTTCTTTACACCAACCTCACATCCACATTCCAGCTTGTATTGGGAACATCTTTCATGAATAATAACATACAAGTATGGGAGATATTCCTGATATACGACTGGAACATGCTGTATGAGGTCAGTGTGAAAAACACTCTCTCAAGAACTGATCCGGACTTGTTTCATTATCTATTTCCTCATTTATTTACCCAAAGATGCGGCTCCCAAAATGTTTGCTTTATATTTGTGCGACAAAGTCAACCTCTCACCTCTTAATACACGCACAGACACTATAATTCCCACTTTCCTTGGTTCTTTATCGTAAAATTAAAAACAAAAAACCTTATACTCTCTCACTTTGAAATTCATTATTGTTAGAAAATAATAATCTACTCATGGATTTCAAGAAACCGTTCTAACCTAAAAACTTAAGTTATTAAGTGAGATTCTTGAATAAATAAGTTTTTATTCTCTAACATGCCTCTTCACAGGAAAATCTATTGGTTTTGAAGTTTGGCGAAGCACAGGCCCACCCATACCATATGCTGCAATTTAATTAACCTTTAATTAATTATAATGGGAAACAAGGATCAAACACTAAGCCAATTGATCGTACCATGTCAAGTTGACCGGTTGATGGGCCAGGCTTCAGACCCAACTGTACACTATTTTCGGCTCAGGCTTCAGGCCAAGCCCATTTAAATTTTTTTTCAAAGGTCAAGTCTGAGCCCAGCCCATAAGTAGGTCTAATGTCAAGAAACCATTCAAATTAAAAACTTAGGCTGCGTTTGGCAAGTCTTTCCGCACGGGTTTAGAAGTCTGGAAGCCTGAATTATAGGCTTTTTCCGTTTGGCAATAGAAAGATCTATTCTGGAAAAACTCCAGCTAATAAAAGACATCAGAAGCCTGAATTTGGGCTTTTTTAGGAAGCTTCAAATGAAGCTTTTAGTCTTTTAGCGCCCCGTATTTTTCGAATGTGTGGTATGATACACACTTAGGAGAAAATGGATTATCTTTCCACAAAAAACTATTTGAATGTGTAAGTGGGACCTAGCAATAGTATGTGGGGCCCACCTTGCAAAATATATGTGGACCCCACATACATGTCCACACATGGACCCACATGCATGTCCACCAATGGCATGTGGGGCCTACCTTGTAAAATGTATGTGGGCCCCACATACATGTCCACACATGGACCCCACATGCATGGCCACCAATGGTATGTCAAGCCCACCTTGTAAAATGTATGTGAATCCCACATGCATGTCGACACATGGACCACACATGCATGTCCACCAATGGTATGTCAGGCCCACCTTGTAAAATGTACGTGGGCCCCACATACATGTCCACCAGTGGTATGTGGATCCCACCTTAGAAAATGTATGTGGGTCTCATGTGTTAAATGAAAGGTTTGTTGGCCCATACACAAGACATTCACATTACCAAACGGTCTTCTAGCTTTTTATGTTTTGTTGTGAGATTTATGTAAAATATTTCAACTAAACAGTCTTTGGTCTTCCAAGATCTATTTACAAAAGCTTACCCTATCTTTTAATCATCAGATCTTGTAACAAATCTTCTAGAAAAGAATTGCCAAACAGGCACTTAAGCTCTTAGGTGACATCTCTAATAGATTTTTATTCTTAACTATGATTGATCACCTTACATTTTAAATCTAAGAACTCTCATATTAATGGATAATGAACAAACAAGGGCTTTTTTCTTGGTTTCATACTTTCTCAAATGTTGGTGACGTGTTATTAAATTTATAGGCTTATTGATTTGAATCATGTTTTAAACAATTAATACAATTCATGGTTAGATGGTTTGTAATAAGAACATTTATTCATATAGCTGTGAACTAATTAAAAAAAAAAAAATTGAGAAGATGCCAAGGACGTCATTCATATTGATTTTAAGATTTTAGGTAACTTTTCACATGCAGAATTAAGTCTAAGAAATGGAAGTTTTTCTATAAATTAGTATGAAGTTTGAGCTCCTTATGTTTCGGCTTGAATAGGGAAAATGCGAGACAAATGGAAAAGTTTAGGAAAATTTCTTAAAAGGGTTCGATTATGATATTGGAGAGATGATATCTCAAAAAATTTTTATCAGTCAACTGGTACCATAAACCTGGTAGACAATCAGGTGTTGTTTATCTAAATTCATGGGTGGGTTTTGATGAATTTCAGATATGTTCCTAGTAGAACTTGCTCACACTGATTTTACAGAACGTTTAGCCATGCATCTGGAACATTTCCGTGCTTCAAAATATTTATTCATAGAAAAATATTCCCAAATACACAGCTGAAACGTGCTGTGAGGAGCAGATCCGAACTCCCCGAAAACGCGAGTCTTAGTGTGAACCGGCTTGTTTGGACGCTCACTAAGAAATAAGAACAGGAAGTTTTCCTTTTTCCACAAAATCATTATAACATACTCTTGTGACTTATCATGGAGTCTTCTTGTTCTTTCTACCCTTGTAATACCATGCAAGAATGCCATGGAAGTTGAAGTGAATCCCTCCAAAAAATTTCAATTTGCCTTGCCTTTTCTTTTGAGATGCGCCATTGGTTCTTTACCATTGAAACGGGTCCTGTGCGTTTCTCAAAACATGAGAATGAGACATGTAATTGGTGTCTTGGACTTTATTGGATGGCCAGAGCCCAGAGACTACCCTTAGCTACTTGAATGGTTTCTACTACCAGTACCAGATTGTGATGACCCTTCGGGTCGAGATGACGAGGAAGAAGTCTTTCATTTGGTTCTCCCTCTGCAAGAAACTTCCGCAGGTAAATGGGGGTAACCCGGTCGAAAACCAAGTTATTGATGGATTTACACAAAATCAGCAGGCTGTGTCCAATGGCCCTAAATGGAATGGGAAAATCTTTTTATTTTGGTAGGAGATGATTGAAAGAAAGACTGAGTAAGGAGAGGAAGAGAGAAAGAGCATCTCATGTTATAAGGCCTCTGCTTTTTTTCTTCCTGCTATAAGTTAAGCACTTCTCCTTTATTGCTTCTAAGCACAAATTGGTTTCTTGTTCCCCCTCAAAGCGCGGCTAATAACTCATATATGCAACTCGACAACTTCTTAGCATACAATTCCTGTCCATCCTTGATCCAGTGGCATTAACATTACCTAGGAGTTAATTCAGTAATTGACACCTCATTGACAGACCAATGTTTTGACTTGTAGATTTATCTGAATCAGTTGCCTGTCTTTCAGTTTCACTTGTAGCCATGCTTGACACCATTTTACTGTGTCCAAAGCTTGCTGGTCGTAAAGGTAATTCAAGAGTGACAGAATAACTGTTCAACATGAGAACTACTGTTGCCATGGTAGGTCTGTCAGCCACATCCTCCTGAACACACAACAATCCAATATGAATGCATCTCATCACTTCATCTCTGGAATAGTGTTCTGTCAGAATTGGATCCAGCAACTCCAAAGCTGTTCCCTCATTCCAATTTCTCCAAGCCTACAACAATTCATCAATATGTCACCAGTTAGATTAATTCTGCAGTGCGCATTCTCAATTACATTCAAATCTATGTGCTAGTAATTCTGGTTTCCCGCAAAAATCAAAAGTTAAAACAATGATGGGAGTTCTTGAAATAATTCCCACTTACATAATGTAGAAGATCCTCTCCAAACTCTGATTGGTTGAATGAACTGTTCTTTTTGCCTGTTACAATTTCTAAAAGCAAAACCCCAAAGCTATAGACATCTGACTTAACTGAGAAGTGTCCATGCATTGCATACTCCGGGGGCATATAACCACTGTAAACAATTATTAACAAGAAAACACTCAGTGATGGCAGTAGGCAACTATCTGAGATTCTATGTAACTAATAATATTTCCCCTTATCTAATATTTCTAATAAATGATATATGACTTGAGTAGAGCCTGGCATTTCTTAATCTGACTGTTATGGATTTATATCTAATCAATAGCAGCAATAGCACCAGCCGAACCTAAATCTCCTTTGTCAAATGGAAAACCGATGTTTAGGTACAGATCATGTAATTAATCTATTCAGATGTGAAACTCGAGAGTGATGAAGACTTACTATGTTCCTACTATTCTGTTCGTATTTGCTTGACTTTGGTCCACACCAAAAATTCTTGCCATCCCAAAATCAGATATTTTTGAGTTCATATCACTATCTAACAAGATATTGCTAGCTTTAAGGTCACGATGAATAATCCTGAGCCGAGAATCTTCATGAAGATAAAGAAGCCCTCGAGCAATCCCTCCTATGATTTTGTAACGCGTCGGCCAATCCAAACATGCACGTTTATCTGAATCTACACATTCATCCATATAAAATGTCAAGTTAGGATATAGGATTTGGACAGATTGATAACTGACACACTACTGTTCTAAATGTGTTGAGATTTCATGGCCATTTCTTCTATTTTCAGTTATTTCTTGTGGAAACAATAATTTGTAATTCATACACATTACAACCTTCTGCAATTCATATAACACTAGAAAAGAAAAATTCAACAAGTATGAATGGAGTATAAATGCACGCTGTTGGCATGTGTTAAAGAACATACCAAATAGGAAGTAATCAAGGCTTTTGTTGGGAACAAATTCATAGATGAGTATCTTCTCTTCGCCTTCTAAGCAAAACCCCAAGAGCCTAACAAGATTCCTGTGTTGAAGCTTGGCAACCAATACAACCTCGTTCTTAAATTCTACTGCACCTTGTCCAGAGCTTCTAGAGAGCCTTTTCACAGCAATATCTTGTCCATTGGAAAGTTTACCCTGGGAATCCATTGTTAAACAAATATTAAACATCTCTAGCTTTGTGGATAAGTGAGAGCTACATTCTAGGATTGCAACCTTCTGATCTAATTACATTTTACACATTTGAGTTCTAGTTTTTCATTATGTTTATAAGCCCTTACCTTGTAAACACAACCGAATCCTCCTTCACCAATCTTATTATCATCAGAGAAGTTGTTTGTGGCTGCAATGACTGCACTCAAATTAAATTGGAGCGACTGCATATCTTTAATTTCATTCCCACCTACAACAAAGTGAAGAGAAAATATAAGTCCAGAATAAATGTGTATAGGAAGGAATCAGAGGTTGTTTGTTTCTTCAAGCATCTGAAACCACAGAGGTTTATGGAGCCATTATTATGCTAGTATATATTGAGGTATTGAAGTTTGAACTATTAACCTAAGTCTCAGTTTGGAAAGAGTACAAATGCAAATATGTACTGTGCAAATGCATAAAAAATAATGCAAAATACAAGGTTTTGCACTCTACATATTTGCATTTGTGCTTCTTCTAAACTGAGCCTTTTGGAAGGAGCACAAATGCAAATATGTAGAGTGCAAAACCTTGTATTTTGCATTATTTTTTATGCATTTGCACAGTACATATTTGCATTTATACTTTTTCCAAACTCAGCCTAAGCTATTCAACAAGATAAAAGATCTGAATCTGCTACAAATAAGGCTTGGGAAATGGGCTATGCAACCCATTCACATCTTCACAAGTAAAACACATCATCAATCCGAACTGTTATCAGCAACAGCAATTGAGATGTCTACTCATGATTGGTTAAATAGCTCATTGTACATGTCTTGATTGTAACAGATCCAGAGCTGATGATAAAAGACCGAAACTTCTTACCATTATCTGTTTCCTTTTTCTTCTTCCTAATCAGCGAGAAATAGCAGAGAGTTGATAAAAGTAACATTGCAATGGCAATTGGGACAACAATAGCAACAATGGTTCCAGCTGATGTTGTATTCCTATTTTCTGGAATGAGGACAAAAAGAAAAACTTCATATATAGAACATGAACTGACAAATTCATAATATTCAAACTTGGAACTGGATAAAAGGAAAAAAATGCTAATACCAAGCAATTAGATTTCAATATTCAGTGAATAGTACTTAAAGTGGTGTTTGATAAAGCAGAAAAGCTCTTTTTACGGATCTGATATCTGAAAATAGCAAATCTACTTTTTCAGTTTTTCTACTTTCTAGAGACTGTAATATTAAAAAAAAGGGCATTTCAGCTTTTCAGTTTTTCGGATAAGAGTCCCTTTCAGTGTCGTCAAATGTCACCTGAGGTGGACGATTTATGCAATCGCATATTGAAGTTCATCATCAGTTTCTCAGTTTAAGGTAGCTTTTAAACTTTCCGGGTAACATGATAAGCAAACCTTATTGAATTTCGTATAACTATCATGAAGATTCTTGTGAAGGGATGAATCTTGGGACCTAATCCTGAACAGGAATTTGTTAAACTTTTATTTGCAGTTGGAATTAGTAGGAAAAGAGTAAAAATTCCATTCTCCTGTCTGAACTGAATCCTTGAACTAATTTTTGAAAAGAAACAGAAAAGGAAACATTGAATTGTCTATCAAAAGTCTGTAGAAAAAACAAAAAATCTCTATTAAAGTTGGAATAAATTACCTGAAATGCCGGTTCTGTTACTCGGAGGGGAAAGAGGGATAGGCGACGGAGCGGGACCCGGAGTAGCAGGTGCGAGCTGATAGAAAGGATAAATCTCGTACCTCACGTTGCAGCTGTCTGCAAGAACCCGACCCCCTTGCTTTGAGTTACAGCAAGACGGGAGGTTGTTGATGACGTTTCGGAGGCACCGGTAGCAGTCTTGGTTTGATAAATCTGGAGTGCACTGAGCAAGAGTATATAGCCGTTGAAATGTCGTAAAATTTGCTTCCGCTGTTGCAAATTTCCTGGACGATCCACCGGAGGCAGCCTGGGTGGCAATCTCATCCATCTTATTGGCCAAAAGCTGATTAAATTGATCTGGGTTGGAGATATTCTGTGTGTTGGACATGTAGACAAGAATTGAATCGGATATAGTGGAAAAGATAGATTGGTTCGAATAGCGTAACATACACTCGTCGTACCAAACAGTTGCCACTTTCCGGTCGGGGCATAGCTGAAGAATTTCCTGGGTGGCTGTTTGGACGCAACTCCGGCAGGCATCTTCGGTGACGTCGCCTCTGCAGAGGAAGAGGCCGTATACTGTATTGGGGTTCCGACCGACGGGGGTGTTGTAAAAACCATTGTTGAATGGTGTAGAATTGGAAGATAGAGAAGAGAGGAGGCGGTTGAGGTTGGCCTGATACGTGCTGTTAGGAGCGTAAGTGGTTGTGTTGGAGCAAATCTGGTAGAGAGGGGCGGCACTACCACGAAGGCCGAGGAAAGGAAGGAAAATCAAGAAGACAAACACAAACACAAAATTGGTTCTTCCTCCTGAGATATTGCTACCTCTGAGACCACCTGGTTCCATGGCTTCTCAGCTCTCGAGTTCTTCTACCCTATCTTTGACTGTGATGCAAGGCATGCAGCACATTTGTATGGTACTGATCATGTAATTGTAATTAACGACATTAGAGGTCAGAACCCACGGTACAGCATATGAATCTTTATGAGAAAAAGTCAGAATCGGATGGGGTTAGTAGGCTATGCGAGGCTGTAATTCAGAATTGTGTAGTGAATTAAAAAGTACTTTAAAAAAAAAAAAAGAAAAAGTCATGAGTCATCAGTTGAATTGTAGTTGTCTGGTTGGCTACTGAATCGGATGCCGCTAATCAAGTCCAAATTTCTCTCCCCAGACTGGTCGGGCCGCCACAGATGAGTCTTTCTTTTTGAATCAGACCGTGTTTACACCGTTCGCAACTTCGCATAGTCTTTGATGTGCATTGAAAATATTTTTATGAGCACGGTCTTGTGACGACCAATTCCAATTTCAGTCAAGGAAAGAATTATGGGGTTTTTAATTGATTTTGTTGGATTGGGTTGGCCTGAGTTAGAAATTTTTGTCAGAAAAGCATGTATTTTGGTTATTTGGCAAAGATTAGTGAAACTCAAAAAGTTCTTGACTGAATGGGTACTCCTTACGGAATGCATCTCACAACAATCTCACAACCCATTCCACGTGTACTCACAGCTCCATTCCACGTGTATTAAAAATGTCTCCCCACGAATAACAAGAATTCACATCATCCTAGAGATATTCCCGATACATAGATGCAATGTGCTGTGGGATGTTGGCACAGTTATGCAGAGGGAGATATTTCTAATTCACGGGGGAAGTGTATTGTGAGTAGGCATAGGCAGAGTTCTTGTGGGCAGGAGATCCAGATTCACTGGCCACAATGAGAAATTAAGGTGTGGTCTGGACACGAGATCTTCTGCCCATGAGAACTCTGCTCACGTTTATTTACAACACACTACCCCTGTGAATTGGAAACATCTTCCCTACATAATATTATACATGAAGATGAGATATTTTCCATGTGTCATTGAGATGTTATAAGAGCAAACGTGGATAGAATTCTTGTGGGTAAGAAATCCAGACACGCAGACTATAGACTGAAATCTAAAGATGTAAACCGGGTCGTATTGCCCATGGTTTAACATGGCCTTATTTGATTTTGAGCCAGTCTGGCCTGGCCCGGTCCAATGGTCATGGACCGTGCCAGGGCCTGATATAATTATACGAGTCATGTTGTGATTGGGGTTTCAAGTGTGCAGGCTAGGCCAGTACGGCCCAACAGTGCAAACTGTATCGCCTGGTGCCCATAGGCTAGCACAGCCCTGGTCCACAAATCGACCATACCTAAAACTAAGCCTATGAACCAACTTAACCCGTGGCACAACATAAGTCCACACGAGCTCAGGTCGTGGGCTGTATTAGGCTGACCCCTCAAAATTTTCCAAGAGAGGCACGACCCAGGACAATCCTTAAACCAGTCTACATTTTGCATAGGCCGCACATGTGCCGTGCCGTGTCAACCCGTTTTAATCCATCAAAATACCATTTGATAGAGAGATTTCCTGACGTGGGCAAGGGCAATGGAGATATAATAAAATACATAAAATCGAGCCCATGTAGGTTCCACTGTCCCAGTTTTGAATGGACTCGGTCTAATTTTGGCATTTTTCACACGCAATTGATTGCTTCCGAACTTAACACGCGTTTGCACGCTTGTTAGCTCGAAATGTTTTTTGGGTGGGATAGAGCCGGGCCGGAAACCTGTATCATGTGTTAATTATTTTTGGAATCAAATCCTGTGCCTTCTTTTTGGAGGGGAGTCTGTTTGTCTAACCATTTTAATACTGGGTCATTGGATTTTCAAGAGAGACAAGATCTATTAGAAGTAAAAATTCTATGAATATACTGAAAGTATGGTCTAACAATATATTGGAAACATTTTTTTCATGAAGATATTAGTAATATTTGCATCCATCGGATGCTTTTACAATTTTTACTAGACTCATTGAATGGGTAACTATACTTCGATAGAGTGATAGTTGTTGCTGCCAAATACAGAGTTGAAGGCAACAATATAATTTCTGGTGTCTAAGGACGATGGGTCCACTCTGTTGAGACAAAGAAGACGTCAAAGGCCCCGAGAATTATCCTATGGGTGAAGACTTTGACGGTCAATTTAACCAAAGGCTGTGAGGGGTTAGAATTGCCTTAGAAGAGGGGCAATTGGGAGCAGGTGGTAGCGGTTGATAGTGGTTAATGATGAACGGCCAGGATGCGTCCAACCGATGCCATGTTTCAAGATCCACAGGTTGGCCAAATATTCCTACATCAATTGCCCCCCACTCTCGAGATTGTAGTGATTGAGGTTGGTTGGTGGGTTGTGTGGAGGCCTTGTCTTCGGCTGAAGAGAATATGGTAGATTCGCATGGAGTCATCGACCTCGACTGTAGAGCTCTTCTCAGTGGTAGTGGAAACTACTCCTCCATTCATCCTTCATATCAATAAAGGATCATTCCAGGCCAAGGGTGTATAACTATGGTCAGTACAGGCATAGGCTATCCGCATGCGTTGCCCGTGCCCCATATGGGCCCTGACATCATCTATCATACACAGGACGATTACCAAGATTGATTGATTGAGGCCTTGGTGATGGTCGTTCTTAGCCCTGCCCCCTTGGTATGGACACTCCTACCGTTTTCTAGTTGTGACATTACTTGAATTTTGTTATTGCTTTTCTGAATTGTTTGTTTCTCTTGTTGGTAGAAATGGATGGTAGTAGAAAAGTAAAGTTGTTGGAGGCTGTAGTGTCCAAGAGAGCCGTTGAGAAGGGAGCCATCAGGAACATGCCTTGGCATCCATAGGAGGAGGCGGCCGCCAAACAATGGGCCAAGGTCAAGGTGGCCCATAAGAAGACAATGGTGTAGAAGCATCCTGCGGAAGTGGCCTGAGAGCCTTGGGCAAAAAAACTTCAGCTGCGTGAGCAGTGTCGGGCCAAGGGGACCTTGGACGAGTTACACTAGGACACACCTTAGTTGTTCGACCCCCGAGAGAACGAGCCGCTCAACCCTCATCGGATCTAGTAGCCGTAGTGGAGTGTTCGAGAGGGAGACTCCTTGTTGGTGGCTGGCATCGATCGGCAACTAGCGGTTGGCATGGTCCTCCTTGGAAACCTCTAGTCTTAGACATAGCACACTGTGGATTTAGTACAGAATATGCTTTTGGACAAGGCCGCTGAGGTATGCACGTACTTCTCCGAGTTCGTTATGTCACTAAAGTTTTCTTGGCAAAATGTGACTGACGAGTTTTTCCTCTTTCTTTGTAGATGGTCTCCTTCTTGGTTGGCCTCTGCGAAAAGGTGGAGGTATTGACTCAACAGCTTCGACAGACACAAGAGAAAATCGAGCGCCTAAAGCAGCAGTCGGCCGAGGCCGAGGGGCGGAATCGCGATGAGCACGAATGTTACAAGAAGGTCAAGGCTGAGGTGGCTTCCAAAATGGAGCTCATGAAGGAGCTAAAGTCTTCCTTGGTGTTGGCAGAACAACCATTAGAGGAGATGACTATGAAGGCGATTAAAAAGTACAAGGCCTTGTAGAAGCACAAGGCAGACCTAACCTCCTTTGCTTCTCAAGCTTACTTAGAGGGCTTCGATGATTGCAAAGCCCAAGTGTCAAAGATTCTTCTCCACTTAGATTGGAGGGGGCCAATAGAGTGTTTTCTTTTGTTTGGGCCTGTATGCCCCTAAAACTTGTATACTTTTTCTTCCTTTTTTTGTAAGGGGTTGACGCCTCCTCCATAAGAGGCCTTTTTTGTAAAGACATTTGAGTTAATGGAACTTGAGTTTCTTTTCAAAAGATGCTCTTCTTCTCTTCTTCTCTTTCTTCATTTGTGCAATGGACCAATGCCTCCCCCTAGAGAGGCATTTTTGTAAAGAAACTTGCAATTCTTTAATTAAACATCTCCTTTTTGCAAAAGTGATATTTACTTTGTCTTTCATGAAGACATTCCGTCTTAAAGTCTTTTAGGCCAAGATCAATATCACCAAGTTGCTCGATAACAGTTGTCGAGGTCTTGGAACATTTTTCCTTAGTGAAAAATTCCCTTTGCTTAGTACGTCATTCTGTGGCGGTTGTGTTGCTGAGGTCGCGAGCAATTGCCTTAGTAGAGAAGTATTGTTTACTTAGCATGTCGTTCATCGTGTTTTTAATTAAGTAATTGGTCAACATTGGCTCTTTGGAGTTCACAATGACTCACATCTTTAAGGGTCTTTGAGGCCGAGGCCAGGATCGAGGGCCACTTATCAATAGTTGTCTAGGTCCCAAAAGCTATTGCCTTATTCAAAGAAAGTCAAAAGGCAACTAGGTGTATGACTTGCAAAGTATTGTATGTTGCGGTTGGTTGACCGGGCTGATCTTTGGTCTAAGTGTATAGCCTTATGAAAGGTTGCGATGCGGTTGGTCGGCTGAAAAGTCCTAGCGGTTGGAGGAGACGAGAATGTTTACACAAAAAAAGATTCAAAGTGAAAGGAACTTGAACTTTTCGTTTACAATTTTCCACTAAGGTATTTACACTTATATTGATAGTACATTCAGAGATTTTCAAAGTTCCAAGTACGAGGCACTAGTCTTCTACCCAAGCTTTTTGATGTCGGGCTTAGGAATCATGACCTTTCTAAGGACAATGCCATTTTTATTGAAGTGACTCTCTCTAACTCTGGAGTTATAATATCTTGCAACTCTTTGTTGTTAGGCCGAGACCCTGATTTGGGTTTGCTCTTGGATACCTTCCAATAGGTCAAGGTTGCTCCTTAACTCTTCATTGTTCTTAACTTCCTAGTATGCATCAGTTCGAAGTGTCAATTGACTGATCTTTGTTGAGATGACAGCCTCTATCCCATATGTCAAGTTTATGGGAGTTTTACCCATGGAAGTTCGAGGTTTCATTCGGTACGCCCATAGAATGTTGTATAGCTAGTCCTCCCAAAGCCCTTTGGCTCAGTCTAACCTTACCTTTAATCCGTGTAGGATCGTCCTATTAGTGACCTCAACCAGCCTGCTAGTTTGAGGGTAGCCGATCGAGGTGTATTATTGCATTATTCCAAGGCTTCCACAACATTCTCTGAACTTGGAGTCATCGAATTGTCAGTTGTTATCGATGACGAGAATGTATCGGATGCCAAAT